TGATGACGATGATGATGACGAAGACTTCACGACGTCTCCACCGGAAGAGCAAAACGTCGCGATGTTGGAAGGAGAGGACGAAGAAGGTGACATCGTGATGCTAGAAGAAGATGAATCATCCGTAACGTCACGAGAAGACGACAATGATTCCACGGCGACAGAAGACGAATACGGGGAGGGCGAAGAAAAACAGCAAGAAGGGAGAACTTGGATCGGGAAGTTGATCGGTCACTGCACCACCACCTACGTCAGTTAACCGTCGTCGGTTTCAACTCTGGGAAGTACGATGTGAACGCCATGAAGAAGGTATTTCTCCCCCACCTGCACACACAACAGGAGAACCTACGGCCCATCAAGAACGACAACAGCTTTATGTCCTTCGAGACGGACTATCTCAAGTTCTTGGATCCGGTCAACTATGTGGCGCCGGGGTTCTCATACTCCCACCTTCTCAACGCGTACGAGTGCAAGGAAACGAAAGGCTTCTTTCAGTAAGTTCATTATTGGTATTAGAAATGCTATATTTTCTTCATGTTGTTTAAGTTTGGGTGCTGTTTCTTTCTATGCCTGTGTACCACCTAAACAAGACTACGTGTTGTTTACTCGAGTTGCTTTCCATTTAAATGCAGGTATGAATGGATGGATGACCTGAGTAAGTTGGAGCAGACAAGCCTTCCACCTGCCGACGCCTTCTACAGCAGGTTACGCGGGGCATACATATCCCCAGACGACTACGTCTACTGTCAGGATGTCTGGGAAGAACGTGGCATGAAGACCATGAAGAATTTTCTTATATGGTAGGTGTATGTCTTATTGTGTTCTTATTTCGGATTTGTTACCTTTCCCTTTTCTTTACAGATCAATTCGGCTTCTTCGTCTACCAGTATGCGAAACTGCGTATGTTGCAATTTTATTTCGACTTTATGCTCGAGTTTGTAGACGTGTCTGAGATACTTTTCTGATTTCCAATATTGCGTGATGGATACAGACTCGGCTTACATCGCCATCTCTGCGGACAGGCTGGAGGATGTCATCAAACCCCACATGCGGGAGAGGTACGAAAACGAGAAACACTTCTGGTTCCCTCGCACTGACGACCCCGAACACGCGGCTTACGACAAGCGCACCCCCGGTCTGTTCAAGGAAGAATGGTCCGGGGATGCGATTGTCGGGCTGTGCTCAAAAACCTATCACTGCTTTTGTGGGGACGACATAACAAAAGATAAATTCAGTTGCATATGGGTAAGCAAAAGAGATAACGACATCAGTCTCCAGAAGAACCTCCAAGTCTTGAAGACTCAGAAAAGTGGCCAGGGCGTGAACCGGGGTTTCCGTGTCAGGAACAATCAAATGTTGACTTTAACACGCAGACACGGGATGGTTTTCGTACTTTTATCCAAAACGTCAAGTTCAGGATGACGGTGTCACCACCTCACCCTTAGATATATAATGTATTTATTCAATACATATCTATATGTCTGTACATTGCTGTCATGTCTACACATGCAAGTAAATGATATGTCGAAAATAAAGCGACAACCAGGCAGTTGTTTTCTTGATGATCTACGAACACCGAACTGTAAATGCATGTTGGTTTGAAACATGTTGCAAGCTGTCTATTTGCCAGCTTTTTGTGTTTCGGTGTAAATAAACTCAACATGATGTCACTCAATGTTTTTCGTTTCCTTCCCAGTAGCGTTGAATCGGTTTCGTGCATGAACAGTTTAGGTTTAGGTACGCAGTAAGTCACAATAAAAAAGACGCACACTTTCGTTAGATAAACACAACTCGAATCATTTGAAAGGCATTTGTATGCCTGACAAAACACATGCACACAAAACACATGGCAAATGATATGGTGGTATGTTTGACCAGATATGGACCGAGCTACTTTTCATACATAACACACATTTTATGAATCATACATATTGGTATCTTGGGTCATCATTTGTATACGTGGTATATCTCTGTGTGCACTTGCACATCGCCTCATTTCTCAGTTGTCCACCAACGAGGAAGGAAGCATGTCTTTTGTATGCGAGATCTGTGATCAAGAGTTTGCTCGGAAGTTCAACCTCGATCGTCATCAAGAAACAAAACACCGAGACGAGTCAAGCGTTGCTCCGGAGGAAGTTTTTGTAGACCCCGAGACGGGATGTTGCAGAGGTCACGATGTTTTTGACGACGACTCCGACATGTCATTAAGAACATAATACGGAAGATAATGACGAAGATGAGCACTCAATTATGTCACAAGATGAAGGAAGCGTCTCAGACGACGATGAATCTGTGATGGACTCTGAGGAGTCAACAACAGAAATCGACAGCGAACAAAGTGGTTCTGAGAGCGATGCAAGCTCAGACACGTCTTCCTATCCGGGTTCATCTCATGACAGTGAAGAGTGACAGTGAAAGCTACGACAGCGGTGACCAGTCATATGCAAATCCGACAATGGCATCGCATCTCGAACATTCCTCGGAGATCAAGGCAGTCACATATGTAAATCCAGGGTCCTGATCAACGTCCTAGCTAGACAATGGAAGAATTGACCCGTAAATGAAGTGCAACAACATGAGAAAGAACTGGCTCGATGCGCCCCATCTTTCTTCCTTTGTAACGCCCGTTCACTTGTTAATAAAATAGATGAGTTCGAGGCAGTTGTATCAGACAGTGGAGCATTCAGATGGATGGATTTACTGCGTTCCTGAAGTGCCGATCGGGCCAACGCGGAGGTGGAATAGCTGTGTACGTGCGAGAAAACATGCCCTCACGAGAACTGAAAGAAATCAGAGTACCGGAGGAACTTGAGTGCTTGTGGGTATGGGTACGTCCTCACAGACTTTTCCGCTCGGTATCTGCAATCGCGGTCTGTGGTGTTTACATTCCTCCTGACTCACCACACCAAGACGTCCTTGTCGACCACCTAACCTACACTGCCGACACCTTGCGAACAAAATCGGGATCGTTGTGCTCGGTTACTTGAACCGGACGGATACGACCGCTCTTTGTCGGGGCAATCGTCTGAAGCAAGTCGTGAACCGACCAACCAGAGGTGATGTAGTCTTTGATGTAATAATCACGAACATCCACTCGCAGTATGGCCCACCTGTTGTGGGAGCGCCTGTTGGACGGAGTGACCATAACTCTGTTTTCTGGACACTAGTTGTAACAAGACCACACAATAAGTCCCACTCTCGTGTGGTAAGACCCCTCAAGGAATCCGATATTAGACCGTTTTGAACATGAATTACCAAACACAGTTGGCAAGAGGTGTACACCGCCCAGAGTACTCAGGAGAAGACAGATGCGTTCTATGAAACACTAACTTCAGGCATAGATCACTTCTTCCCCACCAAGACAGTCAAGATACATTCAACCGACAAAGCATGGATTACACCAGCCGTCAAACGTCTCATACGGAATCGTCAGGAGGCCTTCCACTAGCAGAATGATGAGGCTTGGAAAAGACTGCGCAACAAAGTCATTCATTCTATAAAGCTTGCGAAGAAGGCACAATATGGCAATAAAGTACAACGACTGAAGCAGGAAAACCCGTCCAAGTGATACAAAGAACTGAAGGCTGTCTGCAACATTGCAAAACCGCCCAGTCCCATACATGTACCTGACGTCGACCCAGCTAACCAGAAAGCAGTTGCAGATGGGATAAACAAACATCTGTCCAGTGTCTACCAGCAGTCTCCACCTATATGTACCAGAGACCTACCTGCCTACTTACCTGCGCCATCCCAACCGCCACAAATCCAGCCCTGGGAAATGTACAAAGAACTCAGCTGTATCAGCGTCCGGAAGGCCGGTGGTGCTGACGGAATCGCGCCTAGGATTGCAAAGATGTTTGCTTGTGAACTTGCTGGTCCTCTAACAGACATCTTTAATGTATCACTGAGAGAAGGGGTAGTTCCAACCCAATGGAAAGAGGCAATAGTTGCTCCTATTCCGAAACAACTTCTAGCTGTTGTCCACAAACTGCGCCAAATCTCCCTTATGGCAATCTTTGCCAAGATATGAGAAGGCCTAGTGGCAAAGTGGGTCACAGCGGACATCTGGTCTCAGATCGATCGGCGTCAATTCGGAGCTATCAAGAGAAGTTCAACTACCCACTGATCGTAATCCTGAAAAATTTTCTGTATCAAGGAGCAGAAGCATCCGGAAATGTTGGAAGGGTAGTCTTAACGGACTTCACAAAAGCATTCGACACCGTCAACCATCAACTCGCCATATGCAGACCGTTGGGCATGGGTACTAGAGTCTCAATACTACCATGGATTGTAAGTTTCCTAACCGGAAGACGACAGAGAGTACGCTACGGATCAGCCGTGCCAGACTGGAAAACACTATCTACAAGCGTGCCCCAAGGCACTAAGCTAGGCCCCGTTATTTTCTTATGCATGATCAATTACGCGAGTGAATCTCATGACGATCGGTGGAAGTACGTGGACGATTCATCACTTGGTGAAAACAAACATGTGAGAGAGCAGTCAACTCGTCAAGAGCAAGTGGACTCCCTCGAACAGTGGTCTAACAATGCACAACTGAAATTGAATCAAACAAATGCATGGTACTAACTGTGTGTTTCATGAGGAACCCTCCTACCCCTCCACCCATGACCCTTGAGGGCAAACCCCTTCCGACGGTGGACGTGGCTAAAGTGTTGGGAATGTGGCTGCAAGCCAATTTGAAGTGGGACAGACAAGTCAGCGAATCAACACAAAAGGCAAATAAGCGCGTTTATGCTCCGAAGACTGAAAACATTCGGACTTCCGGTGGTTGACTTTATTACAGTGCACTGCGGTTATGTTAGACCAATATTGGAGTACGGCGCCCAAGTGTACCATCACAACCTAACGCGCGAACAGTCTGCAACTCTCGAAAAGGTTCAGAGACGCGCCTGCCGGAAGATCCTCGGGCGACACTACACCGACCACGCGTCAGCCTTGCAACTGTGCGGTCTTAAAACTCTCGAACCAGCTTCTGCAGAAAATTTGCCACCAGCCTACAAGCATCAGAACGAACAGCAGACCTGTTACCCCAGGGGGGACTGGACACCTCTCGAAGCATGACGGGTAATTTTTCCGGTCTGAACCGCAGCGGGCTCATTTGAGCTGTCGGCGGCCGCCCGGAGCGGTCGTGCGGGGAGCTCGAAATACGCATTCAATATGGCTGCGGTACTATCTTCGCGGCCTTCCAGTACTGTTTTCGTCACCAGGAACGCGATTACGGGCCATGTACTTGTCCCCAGAAGACATCAGGTTCGTGTAGACTTTGTTCACGGTGTGGTTGTTATAGCGTAGCAATTTTATCGGTATAAATAATGGGGAAAATAGCGTAAAAGAACGACTGTTTACAACGATCGGAACCGATCGGAATTCGAAGCTACCGGTACTAAAACTGTGTCCTACGAGTAATCTTACCTCTGCTACACGTGTCCCCACTTACTATTGGGATCCGCAGGAGTAAGGAAACGTGTACAGGAATGTAGTTTTCTTCGTTGCTATGTTCAGACTTGCAAAATTTTTTGTTGACTTTTGCTGCGCAAGGAGGGGGAGATACTTACCGTAAGAAAAATAATGTATATGTTCGGGCGATAGATTTGGGGATTTTATATCAAGACGAGGCTTCGAACTTGGAAATAAACTTACATTCACCATTGTCTAGAATTCTTAACTTTGTGTTTTTGTGTGTAGTATTATTTTTTGTGTGCTATAATAATTTGTAAATATCATTACTATACAATAATATGTAATATCCACACGTTTTTATCTGAATGTATTCCAACTGTTGTAATTCCTAATTAGAGTTTTTCATTTCTCATATGCTCCACAGACTGGGTCTTGCAAGGCTTTTGTCAGTCCTTCCTTACCTTACATCTTCAGAACCTTCTCCAGAGAGACATTGTAAGGGCTGTTGTGATAGCTGTCTGTGCCTTATGCTGGCAACACAAGGCTGTATTTGTATGTTCCAAGCAAAGGAATTATTTCTTGAGCAACCAACAGAGCTGGACACTGCATTACTTATAAATACAGGTTTATCGACAGCTTATGATACCGCATACATTATATAATGTTAATATGCTTTGCATAAGTCATTTTAAAATGAATGGAAATATATTGTCCATAAGTTAGTAAACTTAACCGTGTGCACTTATTCTTGATTATACATCACGATGCATTATGTATATCACTATAATGTGTACAAATTTGGATATAGATGTGATGTGTGCACGGAACTGTTGAAACAATATTTGATTTCAGTTGATAGATGCACTGATACTCATAGTAAAGGATCATCACTTACTTAATCATGAGCTCAGCTTGAACCAATCCTGTGAGATTCCTCCACCGCAATTTATCCTCCTTGATCCTTTGCAACTCTTTACTACAAATGTATCTTAATCTACTCTGTATTTGATCAGATGTATTGTTGTACAACACTCTATATTTATGGCTAATGCCGCTGTAATTCTATTATTATTGTCTTACCTTTGTAAATGATGTCAATGGTTGGCATAGTATTTGATAAATGCTATGTATGGAGAAGTCTACATTATCTTTTCGTTGCAGAGTATAATGTTTATTCCAACCAATACTAAGTATTTGATATCAAATAAATAAATCATTAATCAGACTTTTACCGTATGATGATATTTACCTGTCTGTTTTGCCAGGTCTGTAGGGATAGCTGTGTAGAGAACGTTCACTGTACAGAGACTAGATTCATTGCATGCATGCAGACTATATGTACATTTTGTATACCTGTTCACATTCACCCTGTCAGGTGACACAGATTCCTCCACAAATCCTTACACTGCAACTTACCACTTTGCATTAAAAAAAAACAGACTCGTTCACTATGTGGAATCCAGTGTAGAGTTATTGTTGGAGTATTGACCTCAATAGTTGAATTGCTTTTTTTACAAGTAGTGACTGAAGCATAACTTTGCAGGAACTATATCTGTATATCATATCATAAGCAAATGCCTCCAAAACTCTAAATTCTCTTGCAATAAAAATTGTATTCTGTGTAAGTTTTGTAAGAATTTAAAGTTGGAGATTTTCTGAGATGGCATTTGTACACATGCAGTGACTGGAGCTTACATGTATGTGTGAAACAGACAACATGATCTAAGCAGAAGGCAAGTCACTCAGTACCATTAGTAAACTGCCAGAGAATTGACAAGAGGACACAATTTATCTAGGACACAGGTGTTTGTTGTCATGTGGATTCAAGGTATTGTAACTGTATATTGAAATTACATTCTTCATATTTTTCAGCTGAAATTACAAAGTACAAATGTAGCTAGGGGCCTTCTTTTGAGTATTGTGGGATTTTTCTGAAAATTCTTTGCTGCATCTGAAACCATGTTTTCAATCCCTGGGTCTGCAAACCTTGACTCTCTCAGTCTCAGCTGATGACACTCTTCAAGCTAGTAAGAAAGAAGAAAAACAGTCAGGGATACCATAGAAAATTTGACAAGTAACATAGGCAGGTGATAAATGTATAAAAATGTCCTAACTGTACAATACTATGATTCGATCTAAACATCAATGTTGTGACCACTGATTATCATTATACCTACTAGTAAATCCCTTTATGTTGGTAAACAACTTGTGACCTCAACCAAACTTTTTGAATAAACAAAAAATTATTCGTATGGGGCTTGAATAATCTTATCAAGCTGTATTCTACAAAGTAACAACAAAGTTACTCATGGCAAGAGTCAGGGAATATTTTGTTGTTATCAAACAGTAAATTATACGCTTGTTGTGTATCTCTTAAGTTTCACATAAGAATGGTCAACATTCCGCGAAAACAACGTTCTCACACAGTTTTATCAGAAGATGTGTCCATTACACAAACGCAAAAATAATATTCACAAATGAAATGTGTACGCGTGAACATGTGGTGTTCGTACGAGTTCGTGCCCCCCCCTCCCTAGCCGGCGTAAACAATCACAAACACATCAATTTTTTCCAGTCTACGATAACGATTCCAAAAATAAAATACCGGGTAAGTATTTAGATAGTCTCCATTTCGTCACAGTCGATTTCTAGCATCCCCTGTACTTGTGGGATCGAACAAATGAAGCAAACTTCCGAAACTATCGTACATGCAAAACATGCCACAAAAGCATGCCGCCATCTTGGATACGATCGGCCGGCCCCGCTGACCTCGTCTAGTTTGACCGTTTCTAGTGGCTTAACAGTAAGTGGTTCGATGTGGTTCAAACGAAGTTTTGGTAAGTTAAAGACACGGACTTAACGTTGATACGAAAATTTTGCAGCGGACCACTTGGGAAAAATGAAAACTAGACCCCTGAAAACTACGCAAAATGGCTAGTTTTCAAAACTTCGCTATAAGCACGCACAGAGTAGCACATCTTACAACGTAAAAATCGGCAAGTTCAGACATACCTGAATACAGGAAACTCCTTCAGCGACGGAGACACATCTCTGTGTCAGTTTGGTGAAACTTTGGTCTTTCAAAATAATATCCATTATTCAGAAAATATAAGATTTGAGAGCAATACATTTAGCGCACCTAAAGGAGAGTTGGGAAAAACCAAGCAGCCTGATTGGCCAAACCCAACACGTGACACCCGTCCATCCCCCCTGTGTTACCCCGAACCCGCGCAGAGACACATGGACGTAATCTACGGAACCCAAAAGCACTGACTTTACCAATCTCTCGTACCACTAGATACAGAAATAGTGCAGTGCCGTCGATGATAAGAATACTTAATACTAAATGAAACCCAAGCAGCACTGTTGACAAATGTTGCATTTATAATTATGTAACGTCAGAACTTCATTGTTGTACCCGTATACCACATGTTTTTTTTAAAGTAAGACGCTCCTTTTAATGTACCATTAACGATTTTATAATGTATATAATGTATTTTATAATGTATAATGTTTTTAAATGAATGTTACAATTAGCGATATTCAGCCTGGTGCTGCGAAGTCGGTTAAGAATAAATCATTTGATTGATTGATTGGTTGATTGATTGATTGATTAATTAAGGAAGAGTGGACGCTCTATCGAGACTGGTCCTTTCTACTGCCTAACGAACCGGGCGATGTCCCTCAACGCGTGATCAAAGTGACAAAACGCGCTGGCAGAAGATTTTATCTAGTAGAGTTTGCTGCGTTGCCTTGTTACAGTTACAAGATCGAATACAGCAAGAACTGGGTCTCGGAACAGACATTGATGTAAAAATATGGTTACGTCGTTCCAAAGTAAAACAGTGGTAGCGTCGTTATACCATTGACAGTACAACTTTCTTTGTGGTGATATCTGTACCTGATGTTTGGCATAACTAATGAGACGATCAATAAAGTGTGACGAAACCTACTGTATTTTGCGCCGTTGTGTCGATGTATACATGCACACATGATGCGCACACATGCGTGAAGTAGATATGTTATTTATCATTGTAACACCTACTCCGGAGTAAGCATACATGTATTCAATTCAATTCAGTCTTTATTAAACAACTCGCAGACTTAAGTCTGAATTGTGTTGCTCATTACAATATTCGGGAAACGTTAATGAGATTACAGACAATCATATTTTATGTGAAATGCGCTTTCGTTTACAAGTATAATGCATTACATAACATTACAAATTAAAATATATCGTAACACACAAAAGAGAAGACGTTTGTGCTGCTGGGTCACTCAGTATACAAGATACTGCAAACACGACAGACAAGTGAAGTCTGAGCGCAAGTACTATATTGATTACTTGGCGTTTTACAGTTCAACTAAAAAGGAATTGGTGAGTTCTTGTGACGTGCAGACCGACAGAGTGGAGCATCAAATTTATTTGCATTACGTGTACTTCTACCGGAAATATATGTATCATACATATATACCTCTCTCTCTCTCTCTCTCTCTCTCTATATATATATATATATATATATATATATATATATATATATATATATATATATGTATATATATAGAGAGAGAGAGAGAGATTTATATATATATAGGGAGATATATGAATACATATCTAGAGATACATAAATATACTCATATTTTCGGATCATTATAGGTGTGCATTGGAATATTTTAATATAGAAATTAAAAAACGTCATCACCCTGCATGCACCATCCGCCTTGTAAGACCTATCTTGCTTACATATTACTACTTGACTGCCTGTGCCTGTGTTCAAATTCTCAACATAGAAAACCGTATGTTAATGAACGAAATCGTGTGGCTAGTCTCGCCTTACATACGCGGTGATGTCATTAATCTTCATTTACATTTATTTATAAGTCGTTTGTCACCTGCTTTCCCTTATCACGATGTTTTTTTGTGTTTTAAATGCTTAAACTCTGCACTAAAATAAGTATATCACATAATAATGTGTATATGAAAAATCGCTTAGAAAACATGACCTACACAATAAACACACAATCTGGATGTAAGCTAATAGTTTAAAATCGCGGTATATTAAAAATAAAAAGGACATGTTCATATACACGTCTAAAAAGAATCTGTTCCTAACAGGCGGATGATGTCATTATGAAAGCTAAATCCAAACATGTCATAATCAGCTTGGAACTTTCCTTTAATCCGCCACAGATCCTCTATTGGTATCTGCTTATAGAGGTTCCAGAACATTGTGTCGGCCCTTTGTTGTCTTGTTTTTGGCAGGAGATCTTCTCGACCGACGATTCCAGCCTTTAAAAAAAACAAAGGGTAGTCTTCTGCTATCGTGTCCGTGTGGACAATAAAGTCGTAGTTAATCTGAAAAAAAAATTGAGAGACAAAAAAGGTGTCATTGCTATTTTGGTTTTAGCAAAGTAATTTTCAGAGAAAGCTACGCACTTTTCCCCCTATCCACCTCTTTTCATTTCTTAACAAACCAAGAAAACCTCCATCTGTTAATTCATGCTGACATGCAACGATGCAATTGCAAATAAGAAAAACAATATATATTTAAGAAACTCCACACGGAACGCAAAACGGGACGGACACGCAAGAATGAGTTACCTGTTTAGTGTTTAAAAAGGTGTAGATGGGGCGCTCACGAGAAGTGACGACGACGATTGAGGGATAGGATTAGGAGCGAGTGCCAAAGAGGGAGGTCGTTAAAGGACCTCTCTACTGCGGGAGCGGGTTTTTGGGAGCGGGTTTTATGATTCATCAGAGAATATATTTTTGTGTTGGAATCTACTGTGTTGTATTTTATTTACCATACGTTGAAGCCTAAATGCAGAGCGATCGAATCCGTTAAACCACCAGAAAGAACATTAAAAAGTGCCAGAATTTCTTTATTTCAAACCTTCCTAAACGTGTGTTAGTCACTTAAACTCCGCTGTTGCGCTAAGCTAGGCTATTGCGAGAAACCGTGCCCTAGGGTGACCATGCAAATAAACGTATACGTATACATTACTGTTAACTTAGAAGCGTGTATTTATGGTGATGCATGGATTTTGAAAATAATTATTGTCGAATAGGCAACTAACTTGATTTAGCCAGAGGTTGCGTGACTTTGTATCCCCCAAAATATTACATATCAGAAAATGATACCCGGTTATGGAGTGGATAGGCCCTTTAAGGATTAAAAACGTCCGTCAAATTTGTAAGCAGACAAGAAAGGTTATATTTTTTCCACAAGGGTTTCTAGGTTTTTTGATGTTTTAAAATTTAGGAAAAAGTATGTTTGAAGTCAATTAATGTTAATTTCATTGTTTTAATGGTATCACCCGGCTACATAGTTGCATTATGTAATAGATGATGTATCAAATTTTACAATCATGTGTAAAAGATGTTGAACACTTACTAGACAAGGAGCACATAAATCCGAAATCAAATCCCAGTGTGGATCTTGCCACTCCGTCTTGTTTGTTCCAACTGCTTTAATAAACGCTGTAAATGGAACTGTCGGATATCGTTGGCCAGTACCTTCTTGTGTTACCTT